TGCTTTGGAGAATGAGAAATACTGTATAGTTCTAAGTAACTTCAAAGAAAGTTTTTGACTTAAAAATAATCTCACCGCTTAACAAGCATTTAAAGTTACAATCTAACAATTGGCTTTGGGACTGGTTGGTGTTACTCTTATGGTTAAACTTACTCTTATGTTACTCTTACTAGTTGGTGTTACTTTCTAGTAACAGGATTTTTTCACCCTTTTTGGAATGAGATGGTTGTATTGTAATCCCAAATTTAACAGTCTGTTTCACTTCCTCACATTATGCGTGTGCTGAACCAGATTGAAAGGCTGTGGTTGTGAGTCAAGGAGGTAGTAAATGGCTGGTAACTTATCTTTGCCTTACCTTCATGAAGCTCTTTTCATGGTAGCATCTGGTTTTCTGAGTTTTGTCTCTGGTGTCTTGTCTTTGCTTATCCAGTCTGGCTCCTTGGAGATAAAAATCTGGTGCCATTGGATCTGCATCTTGCAGCACAACTCTGAAAGGGCAGGATAATGCAAGTGTAAATTTTGCTGCAATATCCAGTGTGAGCCAAATATGATGGGCCTTGAGTGGGTTATACAGTGTATTCTCTCTTCTCTGCTGAATGCTGGGTCCAGCATTTCTAGTCCCGTAGCCAGCAATGCGCGTGCTTCGCTGACCACACAGACTGTCAATGACAACTTCATAACTGGTTAAGTTCATAGTACAGTGCTGATGTTTCCAGTCCCCTTGACCCTTGCCTTGAATGAGATTCAGGGTAGGTTGGGGTTTTTTTTTTTACCTTCTGAAGTGCAATCCTGAGCTTATTATACTGCTGCTGTTTTACATGGTCAAATGTGGAAACTGGAATCTCTTGGTGAGCCATGTGCTGTTTATTGCTTGTGGGTCTGGCACCAAAGTAGCCATTGTTATCTTGCCAGAAATTCACTGCTCAACTGCTCTGTCTTGGACTGCCGAGAGTCAATACAGAATTGAGCAAAGCAAAAGGAAACTGTACCTCAATGCTCACTCCTGGCAGGCTTTCCAATACTATGTGTTGGAATTGAAGTTTTGGAGACTTATTTTCATTTATCAGGTCTGGGTTTGGGTTTTTGTCTATGACAAACCCTCCATTTCTGTGCTTGCAAGCACTGCAGTATTCCGAAAATAAAGGCAGGCTGTATTTACGCATGCTGGTGTATGATCCCAAGAATCTCTCTCCAGGAAAACATTGGCTTACACATGCTTGTACCCATGTTTCTTACCACTGGCATGAATAGCTGTGCAGGCTGTTCTAATGATAGTCAGATTTTCATAGTGCTACCCATAGTCTGCTTCCTGAGATTGCCTTTTCTCCCCCCCACTATGGAGTGGGGCTTAGGTTTAGCTGTAATGAGTGACCAAGTCAACCATCACATTCACCATTGGGGTAGTTTTTCATGGCATATATCTGTCCAGTAAGTTAAGGTTGTTAAAAATGCAAAATGCAGAAGTAGTTGTGGGATTGCATTCTAGAAAAAGAAATTGCAGAAATTGCACATTTAATAGCTATAATAGTCTTATTCCACAAGATTCATACTGAAGAAAAACATAGTCTTGAGTTATAGACCCTTCCTCTTCCATAGCCATGGTATTAACTAGTTTTCTGTGGGGAACAGTTCATGCAACAGACTTAAATCTGATGCTACAGTACTGTGTGCTCAGGAAAACAGTGGGTGAGCCAAAGCGAATGCTGTTTTTTTAGCCCCAAAATAAAAATAAATTGCTCCAGAGGTACCTATAAATCCTTATTGTCAGGCGGATAGTCTGTTTCACTTAAAAAAACAGAAGTAGAAGGATTTCTGTTTTTTTTTTTTTTCAACTTGGTCTATGCCTGCTATCATATCATATAATAAGCTTCATAAGCTCGCGAACTGCATCTCAAAAAGCAGAACCTCACAACCTTAAAGTAATGCTTCCTTCTGTTTAAAACTGTAATTTTCTTTTAACTGAATTGGTGTAAAGGGAACAAAACTATTGTAATTGCAAGCACTGGGGAGAAAAGTGCTACAGAAGCCTCAATAAATACTAGAAGAGGGAGGAACAGAGTTGTGCAGCTGTGTGTGTGTAACTAAAACTTACAAGGTTGGTTGTATATTTGCAGATTTCATGCAAATACTGAGGCTTTTGCTTCCTCTCATTAAACATGTGCAAAATGGAGTAAATCCTTTCACAGAAGGTCTTGCTGTAGCTAAGTTCTGTACCTTCCAAACATTGGTAAAACTTAAGTCTAATTTAAGACAAGTGGGGAGTTGGACTGGATGATCTTTAAGGTCCCTTTCAACCTAAACCATTCTATGATTCAAATACAGTCATAGCTGTAGATTACAGTTGTCCTATTGCAGACCTGTGAGTTTTTCTAGATTAGAAAGAAACTCTTTGTATTTTCAGGTCTGCTCCATTTACTTGTCTCTATCTTTTTGCTTTTATTTCCATCAAGTTATTAACATTCTACTTCTAGAAGGAGTCTTGTTTGCTTGTATGCTTATCTGGACTTGTTGAATTAACAACTGTATTCTTAATTACCCCCACACACCCCCTTTTTTTTTTTTCTGGTTTCCTTGCTTCTTCATACGGTTTCTCGTTTGTTCCTCAGTGTATTGTGTTTACCCGCTAAACAGGGTAGCCTCCCTGTGTAGAACAAGATGGTTCCAAACTAATATTAAAGGCTCATCACCACACTGGAAACAAATCCAAAACAACTTTGCTATTGTTGAATAACAAGAGGTTTGAAAAGTTGAAGAGTAGCTTTTGCCTTGGATCAGCATCTCATTTAGATCTTGGCTGGCTTTCAGGGGGAAGCTGCCAGACCAGCTGGTTTGAGGCCAGTCCACTGAGAATCAAGCCAAGAGGAACTTGCCTCTAAGTGTAGCAAACTTTTGCACCAGAAGTGAGAAAAGCAATCTGTGGCAAACATGTGTGTATCTTCAAAGGCAGTTCCAATGTAATCTTTTTTGGTGCCCTGGACTGCAGAGTTCAGAAAAATGAAAATATTTTCTTATGAAAATATCATAAGAAAAAAGATAATTAGAAGTGTAAAGGATCTAGTGCAATGTACCTAATTCTGCTGTGGGGGTCATGCAATTCATCTCAGTGGAGACAGTTCATTGGGTAAAAAGGTCAACTTCAGCTAATGATGATGAGTATCTCCTGTGTGTCAGCAAGCTCCTCCTGCTATCCTTGCAACTCTTTTCTGAAAGACACATTTTTTTAGGAAAATAAATTCTAAAGAAAGAGCTAACTGGCACAAGTGAAACCCATGTTTGTTGGGAGTGTACATTCTTCACTTCTTCCTCCTTATTCTGTTTTGGAGAAGTCAAATGTTGTGACATTTTGTCTTAGCATGTGTATCTATTTAGTCTATAAAGTGTCATTAATAAGGATGATTTTTGGGACCCTTGGCATGGGCCTATAACATGCAAACACACAGTGCAGGACAAAGCAGGGAAACCTGTCAGGGCTGCAATTCTCCTCACAGAAGCAGTTTTATACTGCAAACTACAGTTCTCCTAATGACAGTTGCTCTGTGCAGCTTTGTGTGATATTGTCCCAGACTTATGGCTGGTGATTGCCTGAAGAGCTATTTGGGTAGTCTGTGCTTCAGTGAAAAAACTTTCATATGTCCTGCAGCAAATCCAAAAGTGTAATGAAATAGGTAATTTGTCTTGAGTTTTAATGTGAAACAAAATGATGTAGTAAGCTTTTTTTCATCTCTGTGGTGGGGGAAAAACTGGCTCATTTTCAACTTGGATCTCATCTTTCTGGTTTCTGAAGTCAGCCTTGTGGAGGTGATGTTAGATTTGTAATGCTGTCTCACGCAGCATACAGCAATGCTGCCTTAGTGACTGCAAGTAAAGTGAACTAATGTCTTCAGTTTTGTTCTTTGCCATATGTAATGCTGTTAATGTCCTTCTAAAAACAGCAGAGATTGCCTTAGCAAAAAAAAAAAAAACACGGGCAAGAACTAATCATATTTCTAGATCTTGCTGCTAGAAATTAAAATAATATCATAGGACCAAAACACTTAGACCACCAATGTAAGGAACTTCTGATCCAGTGATGAGGATGTTTTTTCAGGAGTGCTTTGGTTGCAGTTTCTCTTGGCTACTCAGTAGAAACATACTGGATGATATGGTTTAATAACTCTTACTGGCCTTATGAACTGGCTATGCATTTAATAATTACTATTTTCTATCTAGTACGATATCTAACACTTCGGAGTCTCAAAAATGTAACTAGTTTGCCACCTTGAAGGATTTAGTCACTTTTTTATGAGAAGCTACCTGATGAGTGGCAGGATTGTTTCAGCCAAGTCACTGCCAGGCAGACCTCAAATGTGTAAAGTACCTTGGGCTGTTTCAACAAAAAGCATCAGTCCTTCCTCCAGCACCTGCACCACATGTTCCACTGGTGATGTTGGAGAGCTTGCCCTTTGTTTTGGGATAAGGATGAGCAGCAGGCGTGATCTGTATGGAGATGAGGGTTGCTGTGAGCTTGAGTTGCAGCGCACCTATACTACAGGAACCAACTTTGTCCAGCATATTGCTGGCCTCAGTTCTCTTGGGCTTCAGCTCTGGCATTGGCTATCACAGAGTTTTTTACATGCAAACATCAGTAATACAAAGCACTCCTTGTTTTCTTCCGATTTCAGCTTAAATTACTATCTATTTAAAAGCCTGGTGCTGTTCAAAAGACCCAAGAGTTTTCACAGAGCACTATGAAAACGCAAAACAAATTAGACTCTGTAGGGGGGGCATGCAGTTTGATTATTGATGGATCACAAACATGCCAGAAATTATTCTCTCTAATCATTTTGATCTGCCATGTGAATGAATTGAGAGTTTTCTCCTCAACCTGCGCCCTTTTCTCTTACTAATTATATTTATGTTGTGGTAGTGACATTAAAAATATGATGGTTGTGGATAAAAGATGTCACTTCTAATCTATTAAAATTACAAATAACAATGTTTTTCAAATTACATCTCTGTAGGTGGATGGAGGTCTGTCTGGAAGAAGAGCTGCCCCCAACTACAGAGCTGGAGGAAGGCTTAAGAAATGGTGTTTACCTTGCCAAGCTCGCAAAATTCTTTGCCCCTAACGTGGTGTCAGACAAAAAGATCTACGATGTGGAGCAGGCACGCTATAAGGTAATAGCTTTTTAAATTCTCCCACTGACAAGCATAAAAAATGTAATGTCTGTCTTCCAACTCTTAAAGATACTTGAGTGTGATTGGTTAATTTTCTGTGTCTCTTTCATAATGCTGTCAGGACAAGATGGAAGACACATAGCACTAAGAAGCCAGCATGATAAGTTAGAAATGTTTTACCCTTAGAAAAGCTATGTTAGTGTCAGTTAATGTTTTTAAAGCTGAACAAATTGCACATCTGGCTCCAGGGAGAACATGAGCTTTACCATTTATACAATTATCCTTTTCTAGGGATAGGAGCCAAAAGCAAACTTGATAACTATTCTGAACTTTCCTCATCTTGTATGGGAGGACATTCACTTCATTAGATTTATGTGTTTATTTTAACAAATTTATTACTGAGAAGCTACCAGTAACTAAGCTTAGTTTTCTATGTGTGTGAGCTGTTAATTAACTCCAAGATCCTCAGTAACACAGAAATACATATGCATATGCAGTAGCCTCACTATGGAATGTATTATCTCAACATGTAGAGGGGGGCAGGAAAAAATTGAAATGGACATTTTAAAGGTGTAATCAGTGGCTGTTGTTCGAGAGTTGAGAAATTAAACTGTTCTAGGTCCCATATGGTTAACAGAACCATGGTTAAGAATCCTAGTTACATTTAAATGCTGCTTCTGAAACTCTCCAAAATTTTAGTTTAGGCTTCCTTTCCCGTTTATCCTGACTCTTTAAA